CGCCGCCAAGAAGGATGACACCTGCTCCGTAAGTAGCGTTCATGTTTGAACATTGTGCGCTTCTACATCCCACGCTGATCACCCATTTTGGCTATCCCACAGGCGTCTGCAAAGACAGTAACCGTCACCCAGACCGTCTCTGCCGCTGCGTCGACGGGAAGTGCCGTGCTCGCTGCCAACCCCGGCGCGGGCAAGGGCAACGCAGGCAAGGGTACTGGTGCTGGTGCGGGCGCAGGTGCCAACAAAGGCGGTAACAACGCTGGCGCTGGCGCGAACAAGGGCGGTAACAACGCCGGTACTGGTGCCGGGGCCGCTGCCGGCAACAACGCAGGTGCCGGTGCCGCTGCTGGCAACAACGCAGGCAAGGGTGGTGCTGCCGGGAACGGCGGTGCGGTAAGTCAACGGTCTTGTACGCCGGATCCTGAGAGTGGTTTCTGACTTCGTCTTATGCAGACTGCTACCGCTGGTGGCGCCAACAACGGCGACGCTCAGACGTCGTTGACCCTTGTCCAGTCGGTCATCGCCACCGGCTTCGCTAACGACGGTCAGGACCAGTGAGTAGTCCATGCCCTGCCTCGCGCCCTGCCGTCTCATGCTGATTGGATGCGCTCTCCCAGGCCCACCGCTGGCCAAGTCCCCTCCCTGACGTCGACGAACAACTTCATCAACTTCTGCGCGACCGTGCCCAACCTGCCCATCACCAACGGCAAGCAGATCAAGACTGGGTCGTGCAACCCTGCGCCGATGGGCGTGATCGCCTCGACCGCGAACATGCCGTCGTCCAAGTTTGTCTTCCCGAAGAACTTCGCGACCATCCCCGCGAACCAGAACTTCACGATCCAGATGGCCATCCAGCACCTCGAGACGGGCCACTTCACGAATGCGCAGGAGAACTACTTCGCCGCGCCGCAGGTCGTGAACGCGCAGGGCGACATCCAGGGCCACTCGCACGTCGTGGTCGACAAGCTCACCTCCCTCGACCAGACCACGCCCACGGACCCCCTCAACGACTTCGTCTTCTTCAAGGGGCTCAACGACAAGGCTGTCAACGGCGTCCTCTCGGTCGAGGTCGCTGGTGGCCTCCCCGAGGGCACCTACCGTCTCGCGTCCATCAACGCCGCCGCGAACCATCAGCCTGCGCTCGTCGCCATCGCGCAGCACGGTTCGCTCGACGACATGGTCTACGTGAGTATCCGCGCGCCTCCCACGTCATTTTCATCGACTGACCACGGATGCTACTACAGTTCACCGTTTCGAACAACGCGAACGCTGGTGGTAACGCGGGCGCTGGCAACGGCGGCAACGCCGCTGCTGCCGGTAACGCCGCCGCGGGTGCCGGTGCAGCTGCTGGTGCGGGCAAGGGTGCCGCCGCTGGTGCCGGTGCCGGTGCTGCCAAGGCTGGTGCCGCGAAGGGTGCCGCTGGTGCTGGTGCTGCGAAGGGCGCCGCGCCGGCCAAGGGTGCCGCTGCGGGTGGCCGCTTCAGTGCGAAGGGCCAGGGCAAGAACCGCCGCCACTTCTAAGCGCCGTCGCTCTCTTGCCCTCCCTACCCCATCCTCTTCACGCCCTCTCGCCCCCCGCACACCCCTTGCCCTAAGTTATCGCGCCGGCTAATCGCGTTCGACCTTCTCCGTGTCCCGTCCCGGACGCCCCCGCCCACATGATTCCCCCCCACTTTGCATTACCCCGCAACGCCTCGGCCGTCGAGTCCGCATTGCTTTCACTCCTCTTTTCTGCCCTCTCTTTGTTGTGTGTGCACTCGAACGCCGTGTAGACACGACCTGGCTACCCGCTCGACGACGCGCGGGGGCGATGGCGCTATCTCCTTTTTGTTCATCTTGTAGTAGCAGCAGAGAGACTCAATAAAACAGAGCACGATGGACCTCTCCTTCAGTGCGGCGTGCGGCGTGCGTCGTGAATATCTTGAGGTGGAGTTGAGGAAATGACGGCTTGTTCGGTGTGGTCGGTATGTTCTGTCCGAGCGCGCGTTGTTTTTGCCCGGGCTTGCCGCAACGAAGCCCTCGACAAAAGACCTCAAAATTTGCCGGCATCACGATAGGCAAATCCCCCACATGCTAAGTTACCCAGTAGTTACCCCCAGACATGCGTTCCCGGCGTGACATACACAACGCGCGTGCCATGACAACCCGAGGTCCGAGGCGGCCGCCCTCGGGCACCCGGGGAGAACGTTCTCTCAGAAGCACTCCTCCCGGGTTCGATCGAGAGAACTGAGAAAAGCAGTGGAAGGACAGAAAGCAAGGCAGGACGCGACCGACGTACGACAACAGCTGTCGCGGCTGGTGCCAGCGGTGGCGACATATACATATACTTACAGCAGCTGAGGTATTTCTGGCTCACGCGACGGGGGATCGATCGTAAAAAGGAGTGACATGGAGCTCGGTCTGAAGGAGACAGTACTGTTGTCGCGTAGTGTCGCGACCCGGTAGCGGGGACGTCGGTGAAGTAGCTTGAAGTACATAGGCGGAGGAAATGTGTGACACTGACGCGTAGGCTGAGCACGTGATGTGTGACTGCGCGCGTCGAAACAGGGGCTGGGGAGGCGCTGGGATGACGGCAGAGGGCGCCACCTGTGCTCCTCCTCCCTCGACTCGCCAATCGTCGCAAACGATGACCGTCTCCAGGCGCCCCCCGCTTGCGCTCCACACCCGCCCCCAGCCACATAAGCCTTTCTCTCCTCTCTCCCCTATCCTCTCAGCTAGCCAGTGCACTCTCCGCCGACACCCTCGACTCGACCCCTAGCACATCTCAGCACTCTCCAACGCGACCGCTCTGACAAATGTCGACGAGCACGACTACCAAGACCCCGCCCGCGGTCATGACGTCCGAGGTGCCCCTCGTCGCCGGCGACGTCCTCCGCGCCATCGACACCCCCGCCGTCGAGCCTCCCACCGCTTCCCCGCCCCCAGCGGCCGTAGCTCTTAATGCGTCCACGGCGCGTGCGAATGGGAACAGAAGCGGTAGTCCCAACGGAAGCGTCAAGTCGGCGAAAGGGCACCGCAGGACGTCAAGTGCCGCCTCCGATATCGCGAAGGCGGCCGGCATCGACTTGGACGCCGTCAGCATGGGTGCGTCCGGCTCCTGCAATGTCATGAAGCGCGCTGAATTGACGGGTACTTTGTAGCTGAGGCGCGGAAAGTCATGTCAGAGGAGCACAAGATTCTCGGGTTCCGTCCTCCCCACGGCTCGTTCGCAGCAGAGGTGCAGTCCATCGCCGCGAAGCACCCCGAGGGCAAGCCCGGCGCGTCTCCACCAGACACCGCGAAGCTCAAGGAGATCGCGCGGGAAGATGCTCTGCGTATCTTGTGAGTCGTCCTTTTCTCTCCTGCGCCGAGAAAGAGCAGAAATTGAGATTGGCGCAGGGCGGAACGTAAGACGAACACGGGCGCGGACAAGGACGCGCTCCCGCCGACCGCGAAACCGGTGAACGGGAGCGACAAACACGTCACTCCCGCACGGCACTCGCCACCCGACCCAAGCGTGAACCTCAACAAGATCAGTGCAGGTACGCTTCTCCCACCTCTCCCCCCTGCGTCAGAGCCATCCTCGTCGTGGGCTCGTGCCTGCCTCCACGCTGTTTCGCATGAGGAGCGACACATCCCATGCCCCGTGCGATATCGGCTCCTTTCTGCCTGTGTTCCCTACAGCTACGCGAACAGTACGCTGACCAACCCCGCCTCACCCCACAGACGCCGCCCGCGTCCTCATGTCGCACGAACACCGCGCCCTCGGCTTCCGCCCGCCTCCTGGCTCGCTCGCCGCGGAAGCTCAGAGCGCCGCCGCACGCCACCCGGACGGTGACGGCACGCACCTTGACGACGACACGCTCCGCGAGATCGCGCTCCGCGACGCTGAGCGCATCAAAGCCGACCGTGAGCTCAACCTTCATGGCGAGTCCGGGATCAACGTGAGCACGCTCGGGAAGGAGGCCGCCGCGGCGGTCGCGTCGGCGGAGGCGCGCGCGCTGGGGCATCCGCCGCCGAAGGGTAGCTTGGCGGCGGAGGCGCAGAGCGCGGCGGACAGACATCCGGAGGGAGGCACGTTCAAGCCGGACGGGAACCCGGTAGAGATGGAGAGGCTGAAGGAGGCGGCGCGGAGGGAGGGGGAGAAGCTGCGCGAGGAGGAGGAGAGGGCGAAGAGGGAGGAGGGGAAGGAGGTCGTCGAGGCTGCGAAGGAGGCCGCTGCCAAGGCGCAGGAGAACGGCGCGAACGGGGCCGAGCAGGAGTGAGTACCATGATCCCGATGTATCCTCGCCTGCATCGTCGTTAACCTTCGTGTGCGCCGTGCTCGTAGGTCTAGCTCGACGCCGACCAATGCCGGTACAGCGCAGCAGCAGCAGAGCCCGCCGAAGGCGGACAAGGCGATCGAGACGGAGCCGCTGACGGACGCGCCGCCGAGCGTCGCGCGCAAGCTGACGACTCCGCCGCTCTCGCGCAGCGAGACGGGCGAGTCGGTCGAGATCGTCGGGGACGTCCTCGCGTGAGGCGCGTCGCACGCATGCGCGCGCTCTATCTACGAGAACGGAGAAGGGACCCGGGGACGAGCTTACTCGAGCCTGGCATCTCCGCGCATGGACAGAGTGGTTGAGGCAGCAGACCTGGAGCAGTTGTCGAGAGGACTCGGGACGTCTTCCGCTCACGCAGCGGTCGAGCGACGTGAACCAGCATGTATTATATCGGAATGTACACTACGCATAGGAGGCAGTCAATCTACATACAGTACTTTTGTGGCAAGTCTTCTCATGGTTTCGACCGCGGTGCGCCTGTCGCCCGGGATCTGAAAAGTCGATTCTCTTCAGGGAGCCGCAGCGGCGCTCCGAGTCGGCGCTTAGAGCCGCTTTGACCTCCCTGCGCTGCGCCGTATTCTCGCGAGGCCTCCCGCACTCCCTCCTCCTTTCCTGAAATCCTCCAAAGTGATGTAGGGTGTCCTATGGTGGATGGGCATGAGCCCTAGGTACTTTAGTAGGCTCAAAAATAAAACAAAAGTGATGAGAGTGGGATTCGAACCCACGCCCTTTCGGACCAGATTCCATGGAGGTGTACTACCTTAGTCTGGCGCCTTAGACCGCTCGGCCATCTCACCGTGTCCTTCATACGAACGCGTCTGCTCTTCATCGTTGCCTCAGGTCGCACCCGCGTAGGATCAGGAACCTCTCACACAGTTCCGAGTTGATCCAGTCCTCTAAGCCAGCGCATGACTAGAGGCTCTGTAGAGCATACTAACTAGGAGCATCATCCCTTGCAATACGACGCACTCTACCCATGGATCAACTCGCCTTCGAAGTTCTCGCGGACATAGTGGACCTCGCATGTGACGATGGTGGGTACACGGCCTGCTCGCTGTCCCAGACATGCCGACACCTCCGCGCTACCGTACGCCCGACCCTGTCGCGCTCCATCCGACTGCGCGCTATAGCGTCCACGAGAACGTAGGGCGGTTCGTTGCGTCTCTGCAGGAAGAACGCGCGGCGCTCGGAAAGGAGACCGCATCGAAGGTCCGGCATCTCTTCATCTCAGCCGTCACTCCCGGTGGCACGAATGCGGCGTGGGTCGGCGGCGTAATACGAGATTTCGCCCGAGATCCCGTGGCGGAGCTCTTGCACATGGTCGCAGATGAAGTAGAAGTTCTCACCCTGCATCGGCCACCCCGAGTCACGACGAACGTTACTCGTACTTGGGACCGCTGGCGCTCACCGCTCTCCGCGAGCTGATAGTGGACAGCACCGTGGTGGAGATGATGCTCTCCCGGGAAGTCCTTTTTGACTGTGCTTCGCTTCCGCCTGTGGAGTACCCCGCGCTAGAGCGGCTGCACTGCTACAGAGGACACCTATCGCACCGCTTGTTCGAGACGGCGCGGCTCACGCATCTTCGCGTGTCCGAGGTATCCCGCCGGTGGCTAAGCTGGACGTGCTCGGATACCATACAGACGATCTGTTCCGGTACGCGCTCTCGTTATCTCGACCGCTCGGCACCTGACGCGCAATCCTCCATAGCTTCCGCAACAGAGCGCGCGGGCTGGTGCCCTGGTCTCAAGCAAGTCATCGTCCAACCGACGCCCCCTCCATTCGATACCGGCAACCCCTTCGGTCTCGGGCCGGACGAGGACGTCTACGACCACTACGATGCCTTCTACCTCCTATGGCGTGATATAGACCACTCGCCCGTACCGTGCTACTTCCTGCCCTCCGAGCAGATCGAGATTACCAGGGAGGGCGAGTATCCTATGTTCTTCCAGCGGAGGATCGCACAGCAGGCGAAGGAGCACTGGCTGTCACGCATCCGAGGTGGAGACGGCTGCTGGGCGGTGACGCCTGAGCAGGTCCGGAGCGCACAGAAAGGCGAATGTCCGCCCGAATACTTGATTCCGAAGGATATCATCGAGTACGTCTTGGCCGAGCACTGAAGCGTCTGCCTGATGCCGGTGTAAGCCAATCCTACGAGGTGAGCCCACACCGTATCACTTTTCCGGCTCGTTCTTTGTGATCGATTGCTCCATCTGACAGCGCGTCTTTGCAGGTATAGGGTATGCAACCTACACTGCGCTACTGCGTTGTCGGTATCGGTGCCGAGCGTCCATGTCCACAGCTGGGAAGGATCGTTGTACGACTCAGATCCGCTCTGGACAGGTAGCATCAAGGAACCTGATACTACTCATCCGTCAAGCCATCACGATCAGCCGTGCCTCCCAGTCCCTCGCACTCGTCTCATAAGCTCCAGTCTTACTTGACCCTCGGGAACCCACAGCTTGACATTCTGACGCGCGGGTCTGCCTCTGTGTGCCTCGGTGCCGGTTGCTTGCGCTGCCCGTTCCTTCTCAGGTCCTTGAAGTCGCGACGGTCAGGCTTGGCCGTGCGGCTTCGGCGTGTCCACTTCTGAATCCCTCTCGTCGCATTGACCGATCCCGACAGGCACTTCAGCGCCGTGAAGGACTCCGAGTGCCAGGTCTGTGAGTACGAGAACCTCGCAGGCGGTGGGTTCCGTGATATTGGTCATGAGGACGGTCAAGCACATGGATGGATGTTGAAGAAACCAACGGATATTCATATGCATGTTGTTGCCCCGTGTCATAGTAGTATCTGTTCCTGTGGCTTGCGAACTCTGCCCCGGCGGCCGGTGCAACCTGTGATCTCGGGCTCCTGGGCACCGCGAGGATCTGGTCTGCAAATTCCCTGCCTCCTTCCCGCCGAGACTTGCTACACTACGGGCTATATAACAATTAAGAAGATGCGAAGATTCATATCCTGCGAAACATACCTGTACATGTAACTTCTCGGTAAGTCATAACGATGAAACACGGCCAGCGTAAATGCTCCCCTCTCTGCTGCCTCCCACCAAGGCTACCGCTTACGTGCGATCTGCCAACCATCGCTTTATTGCTCTGCCTTCCTAGGATCGCCCCGCCATTCCACCGCGCAGCGAGCATGACAGCCCGGGGCATTTAGCATCACCCATCAATATGATCGACACCGTTGCGGCTATTTGCTTGGGTCAAGTCCCTCGAGTCTCTCCTGTTCTTTGACATATTACGCCTCATCGATCATTCTGTGCCCTCCGTCGCGCCTTCAGCTCGAAGCTGAGCGCTGATGCCAGGAGTACTTGCAAGCTCCCAAGTATGAGCTCATTTCTCTAAATCTGACATGGCGCAGTGGTTCTCAACTCCGTCCCACGGCCTTGTAGGCTAGACTCCTGATGCGCTGCCACATCTGTCATCTCTGGCTCTGCTTGACGGGCTATGACATTGTCATTAATGACACCTCCGCATGTCCAGGCCTGAACTTGAGGTGGACGGTATTAGGGACTAAGACAAAGTCCGCACTAATGAAAACTGGGCTGATTTGTTTAGCCTCTTGACACCTGCCTCCTAATCCCGTGTCCCGTACCCCGTCGCCCTGCCCTGCCCCTCGTCTTCCCTCACTCTTTGCGTGAGCTCAGTACGTTCTCTACCTTTTCTCTGCCTTCACTGTTGGCCATCGAAGCCACGCTGGCTACCAAACGGCGGCTTCTTTTGCTTTCCTTGTTCCTGAACGGGGTGTTTGCGGCAAATCCCGGGCCGAGAACGGAGTCCGACATACGATGATTGCTGCCCCTGAGGCGCAAGTGCTCACAATGTAGGTCGTGCATGAATTTGGCACCATCTTCAGGAGGTGCCGAAGGTTGCTTACCGCCGGTTTCAGTGCTGAATCCAACCATATCAACCGAATCTTCGCAGCTATCGCTTTCGGTGAGCTATCAAGTCGCCCGGCGGCGTCAGGGGACGACGGACAGCTTGTTCCTGATGACTCTACTACAGGCGTCTTGTGGTACGACTTCGTCTTGACCATCCCGTCTGAGGTCGAGCGGTACTGGAAGGGCGGAAGGTCATGGGCGTCGATCTTCTACTTCCTGAATCGGTACATGTCCGTGCTCAGCCACATACCGGTGGTTGTCGAGTTCTTTGGTGCGCTGCCCGAAACTGTATGTTCTTAGCGCATTGCTTCACGTGTCTTGACGTCGCTGACTGCTCAGCATACGTGTTAGGAGTAAGATGTTGTAAAGAACCTAGTAAAACGCCAAACCTCATCCTGTCGAACAGATGTCGGAAATTGCAGCTGTATCATCAGATCCTCGCTGCGCTCACTCAGTGCATAGTTGGTGGTACGTCCACGCTGCCGGGTAAAATGAGATCGAACGCTGAGCCTCTATAGTGCTGTTGATGCTGCGCACGTACGCACTCTACAACCGGAATCGTACGGTCGTATACGTTCTCGCGTCCATATGTGCCGTGGGCGGTGGCGTCAGTGTCGTACGTGCCCCTCTCATGTGTGTATCATCGACCGTGGCCGCTCATTAGTTTCTTATTTGTCTGGCAGTGGGCAATCGTCAGCGTGCGCAGCCTACACCCTCGGTCTTTCCAAGATGTCGCAATATACGCGGGGTGCGACTTGACCTTGTCGGAAAAGCAGTCCGTGCAACTTTTCTCTGACCTCCGTCTCTATGCTGAGCGTGAACTCTCCGCGTGCGTAAAGGGGTGCTTGTAAGCAGATCTCCGTACGGGAAGCTGGATACGCGCCATAGCTGAGGTCACGTTCGCCCGCATAGATCTAGCCGCTGCGTGGAGCTCGATCCTGGTGTTCGACGCGACCGTCTTCGCTCTCACCCTCGTGCAAGCTCTCCGGGTGGGTAAGACGTGGAGTCACAGCTTGTTTCACGTCATGCTCAGAGATGGTGCGCGGAGATCGCTTCTTCCCTCATCGACGTTCTGACCTTCGAGACTGATTCCATCACGGACTTGAGCAGGAACGATATATTTTGGGTTCGTACGGCAGAGTCACAAAAGTCTAGGTGTCAGCTCACCATGGCGTCTCTGCAGCATTCTTCTTGTCTGCTATATGTGCAACATCCTGACGTACATTGTGAGTTCCAAAGCTCGACGCTTGCACGTATCGCTGATCCTCGCTTTCCATTCAACAGTTGGCTGAGGTAGGAAACCGTAGTGTCGGATTCTCCTTGATGCAATCTGACGCTCGTCGTGAACAGCCTGTATATAAGGGTGTCAGCACGACGATGACCAACGTGTAAGCACAACTCTCCGCTCATAGGGAACTCAAGACTGAACCCCTTCACTGATCCGCTACATCTAGCATCTCGACCACGCTCATTACTCGTCTCATGCTCAACATCCGCGATCCAAAACTCTTCGAGCAACCACATCGATGGCCATCAGAACACATGGACATCCTATGATCACTAGCGAGGGTTTCCGCGCTACGGGATCGAGAGTTGGTAGTATGTTACAGTAGCATTGGAGTTACCGGACATTGGGCATCCATCGGACCTCGGCTCAGTGTACATTATAGTTTATTATCGCGAACATTGGGTATCAACGAGTACGAAGATAGGACCTATTCGATAAGATCAACCTCAGGAGGACACTTTCGCGTTCCTCAAGACTCACAGCGGACGGGAGACCCGGTCCGTATTCCGGACCCGGAGTTGCCGACCCTGCAGCCGCGACGGCCGCCAGAGCGGCTGAGGACGATAAGCTTAAAGTAGCCCGCTTGTCCTCGACCACCACGACGAGGACGCCATGCTGCTCGTCAACGC